TTTTCTTTCTTTGGTATTTAAATTGCTCCTATTTGAAAGCCTGCTCTCTGCAGCTACGTACAGACATTCAAAAAGCCGGAGCCTGAATTAATCCAATCTTTGCAGGTTAGTCTAACCCAGGAGTGGGAAGAATGTCTGATCTGGCTGGCAGCCAGACTCCATTTCCCAGCAGCCCCTGCCTGCATGGCTGGAGCTGGTCTCCATGGAGACCCCAGCTGTAGCTGCTGTTGTAAAAGCTCAAGGCTGGGGTTGCCATGGAGACCAGCCCCAGCCACGCTGGCAGGGCACACAGCAGAGCAGGGCAAGGGGCTGCTCTGAAGCAGCTGGGATCTTGCAATGGAGGCAGCTTGCTCTGGAGCCAGGGCAGAGCTACAATCTGTAGCCTGCAAGCTCCGGGCAGAGGTGCACAGGCAGGGGATCATGGCTCTGCCCCTGCTCCAGACCAGGTTGTCACCGCTGCAAGGAGCAGAGACAGAGTTGTGATGTCTCCCACTGCTAGTGCAGTGAGCGGGGGGGGAAGCTGGGCAGACCTGGGCTAGGGTCCTGTATGAGTGGGAGAGGGAAGGCAGGGGGGTTTAATCCCCCTTCCTCCCCGTGAGCCTTCCGGCCTATGCCTCCCCACACCCTCCACTCCAGCGGGGAAAAGTGTCAGGGGCTGTTCTGCCCCCACCAGGCAGACTGGACTGCACCAGCTGTTTCCCACCCCTACCCCCTTGTCAGCCAGTCCTCATTGCTCCGGCTAGGGAGCAGAGAGGTGGGGGCAACCCTGCTCTGCTTGAGCAGACAGCACAGTCCAGAGCTGCAAAGTATGCCGGGTTGCTGGGGGGCTGTGATTTAATTTGAAAGAGAAAGGGATCTGGGACAGAAGTTCTATAAACCAGTTTAACCTAAATCAGTTAAGTCTGATACTACTACATTCAACCAGGTTCATCTTAAACCAGTTATAGCCAGTTTTGGTGCACTGAAACTTTGTTCTGTTACAGATTTAAACCAGTTTCTGATCACTTAAACTGACTGATGTGTAATGTCTGTCCCTGGCCTGCATGTCCTTTCATAACATCCGATTAAGTGAGCTGTTGCTCACAGAAGCTTTTGCATCTCTGATTCAGGTAGTCTAAGGTGCACCTCTACCTTTTCTTCTGCCTGATTTGACTAACACAGCTAACTACCTCTTTATGAATTTCCAAAATTTAAATAGGTACAATTTCTGGTTCCTTCAGATTTCCTCTCTCTGCCAAGTTTTAGGCCACCGTCAGAACCTCAAAGCCAAATTTCCTAACAGTGAATTACAGAAGGCATGAGTCATTGTGATTGTGGTTCTCCGAAGTAACATTTTACCTTGTAATTTAATAATTGTCACATTATGCTCACAATAATTTATACTTGTGAATAATATGTTATTTTTGGCTTTCAAGTCTTCCTGCACATTGTGTACTTAAGGGAATTTGTTAGAACTACTTTAGTTCAAAAGAAATGTTGTATAAAGGAGGTATTCAGTATATTATCTCAACTACTAATATTTTACATTAAAATTTTATAATGCAGTCCCCATTCAACTTG